CAGGGTCATAATTAAATCTGTCTTCCTCTCGAATTCCTTTTCTTCTTTGTTTCTTTCTCTGCTGCATTCCTTGCTTCTTACATAATCCTCCCAATTTCAAAATCAACATTCAGCCCCACATCCTTCTGCATACAGCAAAACCTCTGTAACCGAGCCTCGATTACCCGATTCCCGCATTAAGCGACCGAGTTTCAACCAGATCGGTTGCGATTGGATTCCACCGGCGAGAGTGTATAAATCGATACAGTTCATTGATCTAACCTCACCCCAGATTTTGCTGATTATTACGAACACTCCTGGACATTTAGAGAATTGGTTATTATTAAGGGCAAAGACAAAGACCAATCCGCTGGTTCCCGTAGGAGCTGAACCCCTAATCCTCCTTGTTCAGGACAACACAGCAAGCGAATCAACTGACATCAGCAGAATCACACCAGAACCTCGAGTTCATGCGATGGACAGAATGACTGATAAATTCACTATTTTAGTACAGGGACTCCCTCGAATTGCGCTCACGAGTGACACTCGCCGTCGGCTTGTGCGTGCGACACGCCCGCATCATCAGCCGACGAGGAAAATCTGTATGGAGTCTCTACTTATTCGTTCATATCCATGACCACGTTCCCCTTTCCCTCGCTCGTCAGACTCGTGGTTCCCCCCATTTAGTTCGCTTACACGAGGTTTCACTGGAATAACACAACGTCGTTTCGCCAAGGTTAATGCCAGAATTCAAAATTCTAAACTTGTCATCTCACTGCCTTCTTCACTTGCGTACGCCGTGCTCTTGTTTCAACCTATAACCTTATCACGAGGACGTGCGGGGATTACCTGGGAACCTTCAGAGCCGAAAACTTTCTATTTTGCCGTGGTTAAACGGAGCGTCTCTCATCGTTGCTTCTCCACGTTTCTGCTTTCAGTCTCATTCATTCGGGCTCCAAAGAGCTAAGGTAAAAACTGGAGGCGAAATACTGTGGTGTGCAAATAGTTGAGAATCCAGTTTTTGCTGCAGTGTTTCAGTGTGTCAGAGTTCGATTCTGTGTTGGCTCATACCCTCGCTGTCGCAGGTTACACTTCTGCGCCAACCTTGACACTCGTGCTCGTCGCTTCGTTCTGCGCTACTTCGTGCAAGTGTCTCAGCAAAGCGAAGAATTTCTGGAACTGCCTGTAGAGGACCTGAAAGAGATAATCGAGTCCGAGGAACTGAACGTGAAGGACGAGAAAGTTGTGTGGGATTGCATTCTCCGGTGGATCAACCACGACCCGGACAACAGGAAAGGTCACATCGCGGGCCTTTTGAAGTTCGTCATACTGAGTCTCCTTGACGCAAAGTTTTTCAAGTTGGAGGTCAGTATGCCCCTGAAATCGTGGATGTTTATGGGAAGTGAAGCCCGTATTTTCAATTCCATTTTCACACGTGTTCGTAAACAATTAATTCAAATCGTGAGCGTCTTCCTTCGTCAGATGTAAGCCCGTTTGTCTGTATGTCTGTCTGCCCGCAGTTCCATTTCGAGAACGTCTGAACGAATGTTCATTAGATTTAATACTGATGAGCTTTAACGGAATCTGTTGACACATTCCAATTCTGTTTAAATCTTACAATAACAACGCGTGAAACTACACAATGATTTTAATGCCTTCTTCCGCGCAAAATTTGCTGTGTAAGAAATACCCAGATTACCTTAGTTACCATGGTTACAATAACTACCTGTGGTTTGCCGCTGGTAACACGCTCGCTTGTGTGAGTGTATGTGCAAAACAAATATTCGATTCGTCCTTTTATGCAGAAATGTGGTTCGAGTTAATGATCGTCTTTTATTCATCGTCTGCGCTACATTCTTTTATTACAGTCTCAGCGTTCATTGAGATCCATTACGTGTTTCAGTTCAACTACAGCATTCCACCGTTAACTGCATTCAAACGTCCACTCAGCTTGAATAGGAAAATCCCCCAACAGATTAATCACGTCTTCTGACGCAGCGTCCAACTTAACCAAAGATCCTTCTGCCATAGGAAACGTGTCTTAGCTGCTATAACAATTTCACGCATTTCCGACGATATATATAGTCAACCCGAGATCACATCAGCGTTATAATCTTTAGCTGATTGACCACATAGGGACAACAGATATCGGAAAATTGCAGCAAGACGTCTTCGTCATACCTCCGAGAGTAAATGACCCCAGGGGCTTTAAACTCATAGACAGCTTTAACATTCTAATATTTTGAACGTAATCTCAAGAACCAGCCTTACAACTTATGATATTCTTTCTTCCATTCCAGCACGAGATTTTTACCCGAGAAAAAAACATGTTTGTACTCTAAGTCAAATGTCCCGTAATTTCAGCCTCTCAGCTCTCACTTAATGCGTGTGAAACAACAGCAAGAATCCATGAAAATGTTATCTGCGTCAAATGCCTTTACAATTTAGCATTCGTATCTACTAGTTTCGAACACTTAAGGAGAACCACCTGATGATGACCAATTAAGGTCGAAACATGCAATGGCTCTTAATAGACATCGAGCCCATAATCCCACGCTGTTGTGTTGTCGGGCCTTCAACCCAGCCATCAACATGCAGCAGGTTGCCTCCCTTGGCACTCGAAGCAACTAATTGTCATAATTTCCTTTCGATGCTACGTAATTTTGATGATAAATTAAAGTCATCGAATCAAAAAGAATGTCGTGATCGCAGCGTGCATGTCGCAGGGGAGAGACGAGAAATAAATTACAATTTCTGAATGTAACTTAAAATGCAACACTTACTGAAATATTTAACTTTCGATTGAAACACATTTCAATATTTTTCTCTAAGATCGATTTAACTCTGATTTCGCTTCTCTCCACAACCCTTGCA